CCGAGTGTCTGGCCACATGGGAGCTCACGGCAGCCGGAGGGGGTGTTGGGGGTGGGAGCAGTCGGGCTGGGGGGTTGTGGGCGTTGAGGGGGCTGGTCACCGGGTGACCAGCGCCGAGCCCTGGACGGCCCTGCCAGCCACACTACGGAAGGGTGGGCCTCGGGCAACGGGAGCCGTGGCCGGTACGGGCAGGAACGTGCCACACCCTGGTCGGCGTCTGTGAGAGATCCCGGTGGCTGCCGTGTCTGAGCCGGCCCCACGTTTGACAGCTGGACGCAGAGCTGTGATTAACACGATGAAGCAGGAATTAGAAAGCAGGGAGGGAGGAGGGGCAAAGCAGCTCACACGCAGCCCTCGCAGACGGGCTTCGCGAGCCGCCCGGGGTCACAGTGCTCACTGCCCGCCCCGGCTCCGGCAGAGCCACCGCCTGACAAGCGGCCTCGCTGGCTCGGCTGCCGACGGTGTGCCCGATGCCCAGGGGGCTGGGTTTCCCTTTAGCAGCTGAGCCGGGGCTGAGGTGACCACCACGGACGGCTGGAGAAGCAGGAGCGGGCTCACCGCGCCCGCCGGCCAGCCACCCATTCCCCAAGGGCACGGCAGGCCCAGCGCGGGTCCGGGCGGTGCCTCCCGAGGCCGACGTCCTTATTTAGGGAGCTCTGCGGAAGCTAATGGGCAGTGACAGCCCCGTTTGAAAACCACGGGAAAGCTTAGGGAGGCTGTGATCTGCCCGCCCGAAGCTGGGTGTTAGGGACGTCACGCCCGCTCCGCGTCGTCCCCCCGCTCAGCCCCCCGTCCCTGCACCTCCTCTCCGCCCTCACGTGCAGACCCACTGTCCTCCTCCGAGGTGGCGTTGGGGGCGGCGGGGGCGGGAGGAGGCCTGGAGCTGCCAGGAGCTGTTTGCTCGTTCCTGCTGCAGCCTCTGGGGAGGCCCGGCAAAGCCGCAGCCTTCTGGTGAGGATGAGAGATGGATGTTTGCAGAGAAACACGGCCCCCGAAGACTCTCGGCACCCCAGCTGCCGTGCTTCCCGTGCTGGCTGGTCTGGGTCCCCAGGCCCGGGGAGAGAGGAACACCGCGAGATCTGCCTGTGACGTGCCACTACCGCCCCGTGCTGGCCTCTGCTCCCCGCCCGCCCCCCGCCCCGTCCCATGGGGCATCGCGCTGTCTTCTGCCCTCCCCGGCACCCCTGCCGGGAGCTCCCGCCCCTCCCCAGTCCGCACACCACAGCAAGGGGCCCCCGCTCCACTGTGACATCGCCCCTGGACTCGAACTTGTCACAGACGGAACCAGTGTTCTGTGTCCCCCACAAGCATGCTGGGCCCCTCGAGTGCCCCACTCACCGAGTAGCTCCCGCCAAAGTCTTGGGGTCACCGACCAGTCCCCTCTTCCTTTCATACCCCACACCCCACCCACCTGCAGACCTTGTGACCTCCACATTCACAGCACCCCCCACATCAGGTGCAGCTCCCTGGTGCCCACTGTCACCAGGAGCCACCTCCACCTCTGGCCGGCACTGGCTGGCCTCGCGGCCCACTGTGGCCCCCACCCTTGGTCCCCTCCATATGTGACCCCTGACTCTGGTGCCCACTGTCACCAGGAGCCACCTCTGGCCGGCACCGGCTGGCCTCGCGGCCCACTGCGGCCCCCACCCTTGGTCCCTCTGTATGTGACCCCTGACCCCTGGGACTCAGGCAGAGCAGACCTGCTGTGCAGCCCCCTGGACGCTTCAGCGACTCTTCGCCCGGCAACGTGACAACCCTCTGTCCTCACGTGGCCGGTGACGAGGTCTGTGACCTGGCTCCTCGCGCCCTTTTTGACCCCTCCCTTTCTTGGCCACTGCTCCGGCCACCGTGGCCTCATTGTGGCTTGGCGACCAGGCCCGGTGGAGCCCTGTCCCAAGGTCTTTGCATGGAGTGCGTTCCCTGCAGACCGGCAGGTGCGTCCACAGCTGTGTCCACAGGTGCGTCTAGCTGTCACTGCCCGAGGGCGAGGGCACCGGGCGTTCCTCCGAGCTGTTTACATTTACAGTTCCGTGTTTGTGTGGTTGTCGCCTCTCTTTCCGGGCAGAACGTCCGTTCGGTGAGGGTCGGATCTGGTTGAACTTGCTGTTGGGCCAGGCCTGGCACGCAGTAGACGCTCGGTAAACATTTCCTGACTGAGAAAATGAGGAAGCGATGAAGGAGGCTGGTCGTAGCTCTGTGCACGCCGCGCCGACCCCGCGGGCCAGCAGAGCGTCGGTCAGACGCCACGTCGGTCGTCCGGCTGAGGGTCGCTTCTCACTTTCCGAGACCCGAAGCCAAGCCGTCGGAACAGCCGAAACAGTTTCTCTCGGAACAACAAATACATTTCTCCAAGTCTGCCATGAGCCTCTTAAAAACGCAACACTGTGTCCTGAGTATATGCAGCTGAGTCTCTTAAAAACGCAACACTGTGTCCTGAGTATTTGCAGCTTAGACACCCTGGAACTCCCCATTGTGGGCGGCGGGCGTCCAGAGGGGTGTGAGGCGGAGCCGAGGGCTAAGTGACCGTCACTGGCCGATCCACTGTTCTTGTAGATGGAGCTTGGAGCTTGGGCTCTGACATGGCACAGACGGGCTCACGCTGCGGCTGTGCTGTTCGCTAGCGGTGTGACCTTGGACGAGTCCCATACTCTCCCCGGCCTTGGGTTCCTCACGTGTCCCACAGGATGCTAATGCACCCACTTCACAGGTTCACTAGATTCAGTGAGACACCATACGTGAGGACAATTCCAGGGTGCCCGGCGTGTCGAGCACTAATGGCTTCTGCTGGTGTATTATTGGGGGGCGGTCCCCAACCCCCAGACTTGTGCTGGAAATGCACAGAACGCACGTGGGCTTTGCTGGTGGGGAGCGGAGTGCATCAGGCCTAGTGACTTGACCCTTCTCATTCTGTGAGAATGAGCGTGTGCATGTGTGTGCTCTCGTGAGCGCACAAACACACGCCTGTGCACACACACACACACACACACACACACACACACACACACGCTAGCACTCTGCCTCAGACCAGGGCCTTTTCCCGTAGAAGGACCAGAGGATGTGTGAGAAATGGCGACAGGCTCCTCTCCGACATGCCTCCCCCGCCCCGGGGTGTATTTCATTCCCTCCCGTTGGGGGAGAGGGTGGCCGCCGGCCTCCTGGTACATCTGAATGCAGGGTGGGTGACGCGCCCAGCCAGCCAGGGCCGCTGCGTGCCCCCTCATAGCAGGCACCAAGCGAGGCCGCGACATCTTTCTCCACCGGCCAGAGCACGCGAATGGCATCTGTTGAGCTGGAAAACATCGGCCGTCCCCGGTCCAGAGCCAGGGGACAGCACGGTGAGGGACTGGCCTCTAATAGGGACATCTCCCAGGTGACGCGTACGCGGGCCGTCCCTCTGCATCCCACGCCACATAAAACATCTTTTTATTCATCCCTTGCAGCAGTCAAGCCTGGCTGACTCCTGGGGGGTGGGGGAGGGGACATGCCACATGCCACCAGCCCCCCCCATCTCACGCCTTTGCCATACGGCTCCTGACTGCCCGGAAGGCCCCCGGGGGGCAGCTCACGAGCTACAGAAACCGAAGGTCGGGAGCCCAAGGTCGCGAGACTTCTGCATTGTACGTTGCATTTTATGTTTGCAGTTTCTTTCCGGTCACTGGGACGACCTCTCAGGGGCCGTAGACGGGAAGGGACGGAGACCGCCCCCCTGTCCTGTTCGGTTCTGTTCGGTTCGGTTCTGTTTGGTCTCCACCCACCACAAGTTCTTTTCTCCCCCTCTCATAGTGTGGGCGAAACGCCGAAAACTTCGACCGGTTTTTCACCCGTCACCCACCAGTCCTAACACCTCCCGACCACGAAGTCATCAGGAACATTGACCAATCAGAATTTGAAGGATTTTCCTTTGTTAACTCTGAATTTTTAAAACCCGAAGTCAAGAGCTAAGTAGATGCACAGAGCTCCGTCCTTCGTTTCTGTCATTCAAGCTCAGCGGCTACTGTGGTGACATTCTTTTTTTTTTTTTTTTTCATTGCAAAGTTGCATCCATGTTTTATTTGCTAATGAGGCTAGAGTGGCCATGTTTCAGAACCCAAATGTCCTCGGGTAGTTTGGAGCATCGCGATGAGATGGGATGATGCAGTTGGCGTGTGGAAGACGCTGCTGCATAATTAACTCGTTATCGACGTCCTCTTACAATTTACTTTCCCCGGCATGTCAGCTAAGTAGAGCCAGGGGGGACATAAAATGCCTGCTCTCTCTCCTTTTTTTTTTTTCCTGCATGGCCGTTTCTGTGCATCCTCCAGCGTTAGCCACGCAGCCGCCACCCTTCCTACCCCATGGGTGCATGGTCGGATGCTAGCGGCTCTCATCCACGCCTGGCCCTGGGGTTGGCTAGTACACAACTTCACGGTCGCTTTGACTGAGAGAGAATGCGGTTTCTCCATTCGGCCCGGCTCGGAGGAAGCACGCGCTTTGCGCAGAACATGCGAAAAAGAAAAAAAAAATAATTTTGTGTGTTATGTTTTTAACTGCGGGTTAAAAACATAAGCCCTTTCAAAATTCCAAGTGCCTGCTTTCAGGCCACCCCAGTCTAAACGCGCCTGCGGAGATCAAACGACAGCCAGCTCGGGCACTGCCTCACGCTGTCATTTCTGACCCTGCGTGTCCCCGAGCACCTTCATCCCCAAACTCCTGGCAGAGGGCATTTGGCGCCACTTCCTGAAACTCCCCGGCCACTCTAGCGAGGTCCCAAGGGACCATGATTTTACATGACATTTCAAACTTTATTTGCTTTGGGGTTTTATTTCTGTTGTTCAAATGCAAAATAATAATAATAACAATAATAATGTACTTGCTTTGTTACACATGCTTTGAAATTATGTGTCCAGATGTCATTAACCAGTGACCTACTTTGATTTACAAAGAAGACGGCTCTGGGGTCTGGGTGGAAGGGACGGGTCCGGGTGTGTGGCTCAGCTAATTCGCTGCTCTCAGGACGACGCTGTTTCTCCAAACACAGACAGTTGTGTTCTTCTCTTTGATGTCATTTTGCAAGATGTTTATGCAACTGTTCACTTGTATCTGGATATCTCTTATGTGCCATTTTTCTTCTAGCATCGAGATACAATTTAAAAAAAGAGAGAGAGAAGAAGAAACGCTATTTCAAGGAAAAAGGCTCTCTCTTTGAAAAAGTGTGTACCCAGACTACAGCTTGGGGCCTCCCGAGGCTTGGGGAGAGGAAAAGCAGTCACCCCAGAGCTCAGTCTTGGCCCCGGTGTTCAGCCAGTCAGGGGCTGAGGCCGCGGACCATCCAAGGACCAGTCCCAGAGGCCTGGAGCGGGGTGGTTCGAGCTGACTGCCAACCACCTCTGAGCCCAAAGCCCCCACGGCCCCGGAGGCAGGTCCGGGCCAGCGGGGAAGATGGCCAGGGCTCTGGATTTCCTCCCACCAGCTTGGACTAAACAGTCTCTCTAGCAAGCGTCTTTGTGAGCCCCCAGAAGCTCAAGGAGATCCCTGGGGCGGGAGAAAGCCTATTTCTGTCTGAGCAGATAAAGACGGCAAGTGGTCCCCACCCTCACCCCCTAAAAGCCCAGTAATTTCCAGAAGCTCCGGGGTTTCTAAGAGACCATCAGGGGAACTTTAAAAACTTGAGAGATGTCCTCAAAGCCAGGCTTCTCTGTCAGAAAGCCGTGGTTTGGGTTTCCGCTCAGGCAGGGGCCCCTGCCGCTCGCTCCTTTCTGCCATGCCCCTGCAGGCCCGGGGACTGTCCCCATGGACCTCCGCGAACCATACTGACATCCTAGCTGACGAGCTTAGAAGGCTAGGGAGGAGGGTACTCGGACGGACCCACCCCCCACCTTAATTACTGGGGACACTGGGACCTGGAAAGAGGAAGTGACTTGCCCGAGGTCAGCCAGCTGGGACGCACAGCCAGGGGACGCCCTCTGCCCTGCATGTGGCATCTCTGAGCCATGCCCACCGGCGGGCAGGTCACTCGAGGTCGTTCATCAAGCTGCTGGATCACCTGGAAATGTCCTCAGGGAGATTGAAGCCACAGAGAAACACCGGACCATTGACACGTGACGGGTTTGGAGACCAACGTGAGACAGACAGATAGGCAGGTAGATAGATAGATGATAGATAGATAGATAGATAGATAGATAGATAGATAGATAGATAGATAGATAGGCAGATAGATATGGGTATAGATAGATGATAGATAGATGGATGGGCAGATAGATAGGCAGATAGATATAGATATAGATAGATGATAGGTAGATGATAGATGGATGGGCAGATAGATGGATGGGCAGATGGATGGGCAGATAGATAGATGGGCAGATAGATATAGGTATAGATATAGATAGATGGTAGATAGATGATAGATGGATGGGCAGATGGGCAGACAGACGGACGGACGAATAACAATGGGGGAAGCCCCCGTGCACACACTGTCCTCATTTTCCACGCCGCTGCCATCATTTTCCAAAAGTCCGGCAGTTCGCAGACATGAGAGCACAAGCCAAAGCCTCCGTCCCCCAGTGCCGCTCACCAAAGCTGGGCAGGGGAGCCCCCCGCCGAGGTCAGGGGTCATCGGCCAGGGTTCCCGCAGCTGCCTTTTCTGTCCGCGCTCAAGTGCAGAGGAGACCAAGCCGCCGCCGTCCCCGTACGCGCCCCGGGAGCTCTGCGGAGCTGTCCGGGAAGAAAGACTTCGCTTTTTGGTTTTGGCCACCGCGCATGTCCTCCGGCCCCCGGGCCCGGCAGCCGCGTTGGCTGAGCGCCGGCCGTGTGCCGGGCCCACACACAGTCCGCTTCTTGGTCTCCTCTGCACAGCCCGTGATCTCCGTGGCCGTTGTCCCCTGGCGTCCCCAAGTCCCTCTTCCCATTCCTCAGACTTCCCGCTGACCCGCCCCTCCTCAACGACCCTACGACCGGTCACGATGACCTCAGGCAGTGGCCAAGAGGCCGGTGAGCTCCCTCCCTGGCTGAGCGAGGCCCTTCTCGCATGGCCCCAGAGGCTCCCGACTCAGAAAGGGCCCGTCCTCCCTAGCTCCTCGGCGTCTCCTGCGGGGACCCACCCACGGGACGGAGCCATAGTGGCAGGTCCCGTCCGGACCACATGGCTGGACGAAGCACGAGTCACCACCAGCACAGCCATCGGGGAAGGGCTTTCAGAATCAGGGCTGGTGGGACATGAACTTCTGCCGGGTGCCCAGAGGCGGGAGAGGCCACGGGGGGCACTGCCACCGAGGCACTGGAGCCGAACAGAGCCAGTGCCCGCTCGCCTCCTAGCCCCAAGTATCCCGGGACCACACAGCCCCGCAGCTCTCAGCCCTCGAAGGCGCCCGACGCAGTCCTGTCCATACTGGAAACGTTTGGTGGCCCGAGCAGGCACTTGGGGGCGGGGGCCGGGTGCCAGTGTTGCGCTGTAGAGCGAGGTCACTGGCTCAGGAGCAGCTGTCAGCTGGGAAGAGTTGAGTCTCCACCCATCATTCATTCACTCGACAAATCACCGCGGGCGGCCGCCGCGTGCCGAGCACTGTCCTCGGCACCAGGCTTACAATGGCGAAGAGAAGGCCGAGGACACGGACCCTGCCCTCCGGGGAGAGGCGCTACATCAGCCAGTTTCCGATGACGGCCACTGGCAGGACGCCAAGGGCGCCGCGCGGGGTCCGGGGAGGCGCAGACGACGTCGACGGGCGAGGTGGCCTCCGAGCCTGGCTCTGACCGTGAGAAGCGACACGTCCGTGCGGG